AGCAGGAATTCAGAGCTCTTCGCGGGGCTGATGAAGGGAGGTGGCTTGTAGTAAATTTTTTTGGCTGAAATTTATGCTTCCTCTCTGGAAAATAACTTTTTCCATTCCATGGAGTGCTCTTTTGCAACTGCAAGACCAGGCAACCAGCTTCCAGAAAAAACAGTTGCAAAAAGCTTCCCCCCCGAGAACATCTGTATGGCAGCGAGTGATTGTGCTGAGACAGAGCTGAAGCTGTGTGGTCTGAAAAGGCAAAGTGTCTGGGAGGGGAGAAGGCAGGCCGTTGCAGGAATCTCTCTCATATTTAAAAAAAAAATACGTTTTTTCTTCCAGTAGGTTTTTACCTTGGTCCTTCAAGTTTTATCTGCATTTTCTCATGTGCTACTTGCTGCAGATGTGCTCGGTGAGCACTGTGAGTCAGGGGCAGCTCAGGGAGTCTCCTAGGAGGAGGGCACGAACTATTTTCTTGACTTGGTGTTCGTTCTCTCTCTTCCCCTTACTCGTGATTATGTAAATGGCAAATTCTCATTTAGTTATTCTTCCTGAGCGAGGAAGACCTTCTAGTTACTACAATTCTAAGACTACTGTAGAAACAGCTAAGCAGACCCAGCTCCTGACTGCTCAGCTTTGAGACCTTCACAGGCTACATGGTGCAGTGCTACTGGTGGAAACTGTGAACAGGTTCTGATTGCAGCACAGTTAAGTGCTGTGATACCAAAGGGTGTCATTTGTCAAAACCAATGAGTAGGTGATGCACTGGCTATTTATCTTAAATAAATATTCTTACATAGCTCATATACCCCTCTTGAGAAGAACATAAATCTCTTGTAAACCTAGTTATGCCTCTGCCTCATAGTGGCCACCCTTCTCTGAGACCCTTCAGGTGCTTATGGCTTTCTCTAGCTGGGTTCCTAAAACAGATGTTGATGCCTAAAGTTAGGGGTGGGAAGACTTCCACCCTCTGCAACTGTAGTGGCAGTGTATTATTCTCTCTCTTGAGTTTTTATCCTAGGACTACATTTTGGTTGTTCCCTTTCTTCCCCTTAAATGCCTGGCTTAGCAGCTGGCAGTTTGAATTCAGAGACTTTACAGACACTAAGTAAACTTTACATCTCATGAGGTGTAGCTTTGGGATAGAGAAGCAAAGGGGCTATCGGAACAAAAAGCGCATATTTTTAGAGCAAGTGATTATGATATGTTGGGAAGAAGCACAGGCTGGGAATATGCACTGAATAATTAGCTGGACACAAAGATCAGTGCAGGTGTGTCCTGGATGGCTCACTAAGATCCTCACAGCTGTTTTATAGCCATCAAGAATTTACTGTATGAGAGATGGAGATGCTCTTGAGCTGCAAAATAATGATGGTCAGATGTGAAGGAATATAATTTTTTTCCTTTGTGTGACTAACAAGAAAAGAAAGACCTGTGGGCCACGGAATGTTGTTGGCTGACACGAATGTGCGTTAGGGATCGGTTTTCCACAGCCTACCTGCCCTTGCTTATCTTTTTCTTTTTTTTTTTTTTTTTTTTTTTTAGAACCTGGTCCCTCTCCTTGCTGAGGAAAGGACATAAAGCCAGGTATGCAGCCTGTTTTCAGAGTCCTGGACGTGCCTTTTGTCCTGTGTGCTTTTGCCTCTGATCAGGATTTTGGTTACTCAGTCTCAAAGAGCCTTTCAAGTGTCCCTTGCGGCAGGTATGGGCTGGGAGTTGGGAGAATAAGAAGGAAGAAATGGACCTGTTGTATTAGTTGTTGTGCTTTCTTTTCCAGCTTGATTCTCAGAAGCTGTTAACTTTGTGACAACCACGTGCACATCCTGGATTACAACTCACTGACAAAATCAGGATGAGAAGGGGTTAGTTTGTGCCAACTTCCATCACTGCCAAGCTGCGGAGAGCAGTTGTTTTCCTACATGTATTCTTCAATTCTTCATGCTCATATGGTGGTTGTATAAGTCTTGATTTTTGCCAGGGTGGCTTTGCTCCTCACAGAGAAGCTATTCTAAGTCATTTTCTTGGTGTAATCCTGTCATAAAGGAAGAGGATGTCTGTCAGGGCCAGTCTGGGGTTGGAAGGGATGCCTGTCTGGTTTTTGAAGCTGGAAGTTCTGTAAACATAGGTTCTTATGCAGCAGGTCATCAGCAAAAAAGGCTGTGGCTAGTGTAATATGCCTGAAGAGTCCTTTAACCTCTCTGTGCAGAAGCCTCTGTGGCTGAGTAGCTTTGGCGTCTGTATATACTCAGAACAGGAGAGAGTCTATTCAGTTATGGGACAGCTAATATTTTCAGAACTTCCAATCCTTTTGTTTTTTCAGGGGGAAATTTGGCTGATACTGTTGCTTGGTTTTACTGCAGCTTTGTGGGTCTGGTTGTATAGCCGTGGAGGGGAGGGGCTTCCTTCACTTCCTTCAGTGAAGGAAGCCAGATGGCCCTGAAGTGTCCCAGGTACACTGCAGCGACAACAGGAGTTTTGCGTTTTTTGAAACTGGGAGGAGGTACTGTCCCTGGCGCTTTGGGCTCTCCTGGCACTTGTGTTACTAGCACTGCAAGCATCAACCTGGCGCCTGTCCGCTTCAGTGGCTGACATGAATTGGTGGTTACTGTACATGAAGTGCTATGAGAAAGGAAAATGCTGTCACTCCCTCCATGCCTTCTATATTCTTTTGGAAGAGTTGTACCAATAATACTTTACAGATCAAGAGCTGCCTCCTTTGATAGGGTCCCACCAGGCTGAACAAGAGTCTAACCAACTTCAGGGAATCACAGATATAGGACTGAGAAGGACTCCAAGAGAGGATCTAGTCCCGGTCTTTGCAGTGAAACAGCATCTGGATCAGGTGTTTAATATTTTTCTTAAGAAAAAAAGAAAAAAAAAAAAGAAAAATCCAGTGTAGGAGATTCTGCATCATAAATAACCTTTTTGGGTATGTCACCACTTTGACATCATTTAAATTTGTTTCTTCTTAGCCAAGCCAAACCATATTTGCCAATTGAGCTGATTCTCCAATGTCCCCAATGAAGAAGAGTTGTGCACTTCCCCTTTTCCCGTGACTGCTATTGTATGCAGACTCTTCTATTCTCTTCAATCTCATTCTCTTCAGCTTATCTTTTCTAGGCTAAACATAGCCAGGTCCTTTAGTCTTTTCTTCCAGGTCATACTTTCTAAACTCTCGTTTTTACTTCTTTCCACTGGAATGTCTCTGATTTTTGCCTCTATTTTATAGAGTACAGAGTGCAAGGCTGGATGCAGTCTGTTGGCCCAGGTCTAACTGGTGTGGAATAGAATGGAATCACTGCCTCCACGTCATGCACACTATCTAGCTTTGACTATGTCCCAAGATGTCATTTTTCTTCTTTGTAGCAGGCTTACATTGTTGAATCATGTTTAATTTTTGATTGAATATAAACGTGTATGTCTTTCTTTTTTTTCCTGGCACATCGGAGTAATTATTATGTCATGTGCATTTCTTTTTCTTTTTTTTTTTTTTTTTAACTCCAGTACATGCTGTTTTATACTTCTCTTTACTGAGATTGGTTTGATGGCGTGCTAAAGCTAGGTTTAGGATTCCTACAGCCAGATCATACACTACAATAAAATGCCCCAAAATCTCGAGCTGGTTTGAATTTGCTACGTAGGGCTTTTCTGTCTGTCTGTCTGTCCAAAAAAAAAAAAAAAAAGTACTGGCTTTCATATGGGTCAGTATAGTTTACACTTGATCAGATATTTTCTTACCAGAGAAGGTTTTAGTGGTTCTCTCACAGCTAGCCAAAAGGCCTCTTCATCAGTCCCTTCTTGCATCCTTTCTGCTCCTCATAGCTGTGGTCACTGTGCCTGGATCTCAGTGTCCTCCTTTTGGGGAGCTGTGGGACTCTGTCTTTTTACTTCTCTTCAGTTGCTCACTGCAGTTGGGCCTTCCTCCTGCAGTGATCTAGTTGGGACTGAAAATAGAAGAGAATAGAGCCTTAAAAAAAAAAATTGTTTTTCTCTTGGTGTATTCTGAGCCTGCTAACCCATGGGGTCAGGTGAGAGCATTGCAGGGGGAGTGAATGAAGCAGTGGGGGGCAAGGGGCAACACTGCCCCTTTCAGCTGCAGTTGCAGTGAGCCCTTAGATTGGTTCCAGCACCCTGAATTTCATCTTGATGATTTCAGGCCCTTTTCTGTTTGTTTATTATTTAAAGCTTTATCTTTATCACTTTATCTTCTAGGTAACTACAAACTGATCACTTAATTTGATCAAGAATCTTTCTGAGGATTGAAGTTACTGGTCTGTAACTCCTTAAGTCTCCCTCTCCCCCTTTTTTCCCTGTTTATTAAGGTAGGTGAGGCATGACACTTCTTCAGCCTTCTGGGGCCTTCCTGTATAATCTTTGTAAATTTTCAAAGATAGTCACTAATGCTTCAGAGATTACTTTGGCTGGTTCCTTAAATGCTTTCAGGTGAATGCCATCATTCCTTGTCAATCTACAACTATTTCTTTAAATCCATTCTTTTTTAACTTGCTCTGTTACCCTATTTCCAAATTAATTTTGATAGTCACTTTTAACTTTCTCTTCTGGAGACTGGAGGAGAAACTTATACTTCCACCTTTGCATTGTTTACTTTCCTTTCCCATTTGCCAGTTAAAGTGTGTTTATCTTTATTTTCCTCTTCTAACATGCCTTCTTTCTCTCCAGTTTTTTTTTTTTTGTGACTGAAGGGTTGTTAGTAACAGCTCTGATGATTTAAACTAAGATTTAAACTAAGACTCTATCTAACACAGTACCCTTCCAGGGAAGAATAAAAATAGGGCAAGTATATATGACACTTTCCCTGACTACTCTTCCAGCCTCCAGCTCCTTTTAGATATGGGGAATTCCTGAGATATGAATTGTCTAACTATGAGCAATCAATACATTTGTCTTTCTGGTGCTTGTCCTGTCTCCTGTTGAATCCATGTAAATTTTTCCATCCAACCAGTGTTTTTGGAGAAGCGCTACTACACGTTACCTGCTGCTGAAGAGCTACATTTGGGTTTTTTTGTTTGTTTGTTTTGAAGCTGACCCCCACTGGCTCCATGTCATGGCCTTTTTCTTATGTTGGAAGAGACAATGAATAGTCTAACACTGTTCACCCTCTTTATACAATGCATGACTTTATAGACCTCCATTACGTTACCCCTCCAACTTAGTTGTCTGTCTTGCATCCTAATTCGTTATATGGATGCCTTCGGTTGTCTTTACCTTTCTACCCTGTCATCCCACAGCCACATGTCCCTTGGGTTTTGTGGTTCTATCATACCAACTCCACAATAAAAAAGTATCAGAGGGGATTCTTTTCCAGCAGCCCATCAAATAGGTAGAGGAAACTTATTCTGGTAGCATCTCTGGTCAAGACCTTTCTCTGGAGCCGCAGGATATTGAAGGGCAAGGGTACCTGAGGGTACAGGCTCTGCAGAGTCCCGGTCCAACCCACCTTGGGCAGAGGTGCAGGAAGCGAGACCTCTTCACAAAGTGTCTTATGGGCAGTTGCACGTACCTAATGATAAACAGTGTCTTTGTCACAGCTCTAAAGAGTGCTATGTTGAAATTGGGTAGAGTCTTAGGTTTTTCCTTGTGGTGAAAAGGAGAATGTATACATGCACTGAAATGCTGAGGGAGGAGATGGAGCAACTAAGGCCTTTCCCTCTGGATGGTGGGAGGGGGTCTCTGCATGCTCTCAGAACTGCTCTCCCCTGTTCTTTTCAGAGATCGGCCAGCCCAGCTGAGACCACTTAGAGATGACAAAGCAAAAGCTTCTGTTTGATGGGACACTCTCCTTACTTCTGATTGTGACCTGTGAAGCTCAGCAGCTCCCAAAAGGTCATGTTGCCACTAGTTCTGGTCCTCTCTGTGAGAAAGAGGCAGAGTCCTGGGGAAACCTTTTCAGTAATGAGCGGCTGGATGCCTGGATCTGTTCCCTTATTGGCTCGTTCATGGTGGGGCTGAGCGGGGTCTTCCCCTTGCTGGTGATCCCTTTTGAAACAGGAGCTGCTCTGCGGTCAGAAGGTAAGCCTGCTACCTGGGTTAGCCTTTCTGAAGCTGAAAGTCCTGGATTGTAACTGAATGGAACAGTGGTGAAGAGGACCTTGGATCATCCCAGTGTCATAGGAATAGTGCCCTCTGAAATAGACAGGGTTGATTGCTTTAGGCCATACCCATCAATTTGATAGGGTTGGTCCTGGCTGGAGCTTGTGCGAAGAGCATCATTTGGGACGTGTACCGCAGTCAGAGTTGCTTGGTCCAGGACCCTCCCACACACTGCTGTCTCAGCCAGGTGGTGCAAGGGCTTCTTCTTGAACTCTAGTTATTTTTCCCCTACTCTCTTTGAAAGCTTGGCTTGCAGATGCTTCTAGTTTAGGTTTCTTTGTGCAAAATCTTAGCCGGAGATGTTTTGGCTCCGGGCTGAATTACGATCATTTTTTGTTTCCTTTTTAGCTGCATCACATCGTTTGAAGCAGTTGTTGAGCTTTGCAATTGGTGGGCTTCTGGGGAATGTGTTTCTGCACCTGCTTCCTGAAGCTTGGGCCTACACATGCAGTGCAACAGCAGGTATGAAAGCCCCCTCTGCCTAGAAGCAGCTCAGACTATGCCTACTGCTGCGTTAATTTTGAGTCTGTTCCATGCTGAAAACATAACAACAGCCAGGCGTGGTCAGCCCCAAAATGGGCCTAGACTGGTATTCTATTTTGGTATCTAAAAGTGAATGCTTAGGGCAGGGTATAAGAACAGCAAAAGCACGTGTAATATTTCTTCTCTGTACTCTGCAGCCCTCTAAGGGTTTTACGATTGGAGGCTTCCTGAGTTGGATGTACCTTCTTTGTGTTTAGCAACCTGCAGTGGATTTTTCATCCATGAACTTTTCGCATCTTTCCTTGGGCTCTTGTAAATCTGTGTTGGGTTTATTTAGTGTTTTCCCTAAGGAAAGGGGATGCTTTTTAAAACTGATTAGGAAATTATGAATCTGTGTGGTCTGATACATGAACATGTGCACCATTTCAGATGGGAATACTGCCCCATTAGATATGTCTCCCCTGTAATTCTGTCCCTATCACAGTGCTACTCACAGAGCCTCTTTCTTGGAACGTACTCAGGTGTGTCCTTAATTTGTTGAAGCCCAAATAAATTGCCCCCTTAAGCTTTGCTCAAGGAGAAGTGATGAAAAATTGACTATCCCTAGGGCTTATTGGCTGAGGTGGGGAGAAGAAAACAAAAAATGTAGGTGATGGAGCCCGGAATTGGCCCACAAGCTAAACGCTGGTTGGGTTGAGGTAGTGCTTGTGGTATTTGTATATCCTCTTCACCCCTCAGATAGCCAGGCTTGTTGAAACCTGTAATGATTATATACCTGCCTCGGTAAAGTGATGACATGAGAAGCCAAGTACTGCTCAATGCCACCTATGGTGAAAACCATGAAATCCTTTCCCCGCTGAGAATGTGGGAGAGGGAAAAGGATGCCCTGGGTTTCCCAGACTCCGTTGCACCTACATCCTGGGATTTCAGATCCTCCGCAGATCTGTGGGTCCCTTAGTCCTTTCCCTCCTCACGGCTCTGGCACTGCCAGTAGAACTTGCTGTCCTTTTTTTCCCCTCCTTATAGTGGTTCCCCAATGACTCTGCCTTCTTGCTTAGCTTGTTTGCTTTTGCCAGACTGTCCTGAAGCACAAAGGTTTCCATGACCCATACATGCCCCACTGCAGGGTCTCTTTGTTCTTCCACTGCAATGCCACCTCCATTTCTGCAGCCAGGCTGAATGGATGATTATCTCACAGGCTTGGCTGCAAATGAAAAGAAAATCTATAGCTTTGGGCTTAATAACTTATCCAGGTGTGGCAGAAAGGGGAAGGTGAGTCTGTAGCTCTACTAATGGGGAGGGTTGTCTGGGCTTGCTGCTCAGTAGACACAGCTGCAGGATTTTTGTTGATATCAGCATGTAATCTCCCCTTGCTTCTGGAGCTTAGGGAAGTTCTCAGTATTGTCACAAAATAGTCTGGATTGCCCTACTGAAGCAAAGGGGTGGGGGCTCTCAGTCCGAGTGTCCTGAGATGAGGTTATCTATTAGATCAAGAACGAGCAGATGAAACTGATTTGCTGTGTTATATTCGCTCCTTATTCCTCAAAAGGACAGTGGAAACACCTCCTTTTTTTCTTGTTGTCTTGGGACCCTTGTTTAAACTGTCTGGGACAAGATGGGTTCCCATATGGGAAAACACTGCCGCCTTCGTGATGGAATATCATGAAGATTTCTCTCTTGTCCCTCAGGAGAAGGGCAGAGCTTTCAGCAGCAGAAACTTCTTGGTCTCTGGGTGATCATTGGTTTCCTGACCTTCCTGGCACTAGAGAAGATCTTTCTAGAGAAAGAAGAGAAGGATTGCCCAGTTGTGGTAAGTGAGTAGCCAGGGGGGAGGGAGTGCTATTGTGTTTGGTTTATGAGTCAGGCACATAAGCGCTGTACTAAACACCTCATCTGCCCTATCTGACAGGTTCAGCAAATGGGCCCGGAGCTGTGAGTAGCTTGTTGTCAATGGCCTTTAGGAGCTTTTTGCCGCTTTGACACTAGGCTGTAGGAGAAGGTGTTTCATCTTCAAGCTTTGGTTTTGTGGTTTTAGCTGAGATTTCTCACCTCTGAGTTGGTTTTATTCTCTGTGTGATGTGTGTAAAAGAGAACTCCTCTTTTATGTGGCCTGGGAGCTGGAGCACTCTGCAGATGAGACTTTCTCAAGTGAGCTTTGAAGGATGACAGCTTGCCGATGTGTATTCCAATCGTTGGTGATTGTGACTCACTACTAGGCACTTCACTTCTTTCTTGGGGCTCAGTCAGGACGGAGAGACCATTTTTCTCTGGAAGGCATTCCTCACTGCCCTCCAGGTCCCCGGTACATTGTGTGAGAGCTGGTACGTTGTGTGGGAGAAGGGATTTATTGGTTGGCAAGTTGTACAATGTAATGCTTCAGGCAAGAGTCATCCTGCAGCAAGGGGGAGCATTAACAAAGAAATAACGGAAGGTGACCCCAAAAGAGAGGGGCGTGGCTAGTCCTTGGCAATCTGCACAACTTGTAGCAGCAACTCCTGTTGACTGTTGAGTCCTTGCCTTTTGAGAGATGAAACTGGAGATTAGGCACTGCATAACTAGATTGTACTCTGACTTAACACGAAATTTTTAACTCGGAAAGGAACTTACTCTCATGTTAGGAGAGATTAAAGTCTGAGATGAACAGTTTGTGTTGTTTGGAAGCTGACAACCCCAGCCACAGAATAATTCTGTGAATTTAGTTATCCTGGTGCACTGGGGAGAACAAGATTCTTCCCCCCACTTTCTCCCCCTGCCCAGATGGAGTTGAATTTCTCTTGTCCCCATCTTTCCAAGGGAACGTAGCTCATAACCATAAGGTCTGGCTCGGATTCTTGGTCTCTCTTGCTATTTTCCGTCTCCTGATGGCTGAGGAAGTCTTTGCTCTTGTTGTCTAAGTTTAAACATATTAATTCCATTTTACAAACGTGACAAAAAGCTCTCTGAAATCTTTATCATTTCTGGTAGTTAGTTATTAGAACGTGGTACCAAAGCCACTGATTTGAGCTGTAGGGACAAAAGGGTTAAGGCTGATGATTGGATTTCTGACCCTGACTTGTGCTCTTTGTTGCGGACAAAAAGGTAGTGACAAGTTATTTTTCCTTAATTTAGGGCTCTGATTTTAAAGCACCAGCAGGGAAAATTCCCAATGGAAGTGGCTTTTCCACTCCTCTCTCCAGTCTCGTTTGACAGACAATAGGATCAAGGTAAGAGATCCACAAGCAAACTCTTCCTAAATGCTTTACATCCTATGTTTTCTGGGGCAAAAATTTTAAAATTCAGTCTGGAGGAAGAGCTGTCTCTGTAAAGTACAGTTCCAGAGTGGGGAACTCAGTGTGTATGAGCGAGTTATGCTTATTTTTGCTCTGTCAAAGCGTCCATCACAGTTAGTCGGCAGGAAACAGCGGTCTTACTGGAGAAAATCTGCCTTGCAGCTTATGCAAGAAAAGCAAAGTCACATTATCAGACTTATGTCTTCACAATAGTCTGTTTTGACTGAATCCTGAGACCAAAACACAGTATTTGCACTGGTGCTCATCTGATTCCGCAGGGAGCCAGTTCAAGGAGATAAACAGGCTGACAACTTTTTTTTATTGCTTCTGTGGGTTTAATTCTCTGCTAATTTAGCTTCCTGAATCAGCTTGCTATGTTGTCAGGTGACCTGTAGCATTGGGTTAACGGGATATCAGCAAGCTCATAGGATTGGAGATAGGCAGAGAAACCATTAGGCAGTGGCTAACCTTGAGATTGACTTTGCTTTCACTTTTGGTTTTACTGTATTGTCTTTACATTGTGGAAGCCCTGTCTGTGTAAACATTACAGAGAGTAGAAGACCACTTTTGCGAAGGAGGACTTCCAATTTGAGTCTGAGAGCCCATAAAAAATGTACAAGCTCATAGGAGAGGTAACTACGACACGAAAATGTGGTTTCATGAGCTAATCCAAACCTGGATATGGAGTCAGTCAGAGGCTCTTCAGTCTTTCTCTTTTAAATCTGTTTTGCTGTGACTTTGTGGCTCTTACCACACGTTAATGTGAAAGATGTGCTGAGATCATTGTGTATTTTTGGTATCTTTCACATTCATGTAATCTGTACGTACAGAGCACTACACAAATTGCAAGTTGTCCCCTTGGTGGTAGTGGTGGTGAAGCTGATATTTGAAACACTGTGCCATTATTTTAGAAAGCTATATACAGGGACGTATAAACTACAGGCTGGTTAGTCCACCACTAGTTTCAAGCAGAAATGAAATACTGATGGGGGAACGCAATCGCTCAGGGCGTTGTCCTAATGTAAAAATAATAATGTAATTAATGCTAATTGGTATGGTCTTATTGAAGATACATTTTTCTTGTCTCCCAGACTCTTTTACTGTCTTTTATTCAATCATAACGTTGATTTGCAGTGATACTGGGAAACATAAATAAAACCTAACTTTTTCCCAAATTCTAATAAAACTAGTCCTGTATGCAGTTAACTTTGCCAGTATTATCTGTATTAAAACTGATTATTATCTATTATAGGTGGGTTTTGTGCTATCTCTATAACTAGGGACTGGATGAATACAGCCCCACTCAAGTCTGTTCACTGCTGGTTTACAGTCTATGTAAAGAATAGTTTTAAAAAAGTGTATTTTAACATTTGCAGCTATTACTCTGTTACTTAAATGGCACGTTATGACTGCATGATGCCAGTGATACTAGGTAAATTGAATAACTTGATCAAAAGAGCTGAATTTTTAACATGTTTCAATACAAGTAAATATTAAGCAATAGATTAAGAAACAAAGACTACAGATCACACTTACAACATAGGGACAGTCTCCAGGAAGTCAGTGCCTTGGAAAATTATGCAAGAATCATAGGAGAAAACTGTTTAAACATGTTCTTCTATTATGATGCTACAGCCAGGAGGATGGGTCAGTGGGAAACATCAATTAAGGCAAGGGGCAAGAGTTCTTTCTGTACAGCGGTAATGAAACAGTTATATGACACTTCTTGCAGTAGTATTATTCAGAATATCCAAGGAACTACCAATACATTTTAAAAGGATTAGAAAGAACTGAAATAATTACTTGAAGTTTGGAAAACACAGTAAAAAGTGGTTTTCTTTAATCTCTAGGTCTATAGAAGCGACAGTTCAGGGGTGACTATTAAAATATACAAATACCCTTGTGAGAGGCCTGACTAAATTTGCATAGTTGGAAGCTGAAGTTAAAAACAGTAGCAGGCTAGAAAAATCAAACACAACTCTAACTGAGGGTAATTTACCACTTGATCCACTCTGTAACCGTGGATCAACTTACCTTGAGACATAGTAGATTCTTTGTCATTTGTGAGGTTTAAGCCTTGATTTAAGCTGCTCTCTACAAAATACGGTATAGCTTAAGAAACAGTGGGCTTTATGCAGAAATTGAAGAGGTCCTCTCAGTTGTGTTAGGTAAAAGGTCAGTCTAGATGATCAGTAAGAGCCCTTTTAGCTTTAAGACCCTAAAATGTCTGTTCACTCTTGCTGGCTATTGTGGATAGGCACAAATTGGGAACTAATAAGTTGCCAACACATAGTTTTAACTGTTGCTTTCTACCTTGTGAGCATGTAATCGGAAGATCTTAATATCCTTTCTGGTGGGGGGGTAGGGGGAATTACCAAACTACCAAGATATTTTTGCCTTAGGAAACAACGTAAGCAATCGTTCCATCTGTCTGCGCCTCTGTTCTGCCCTTCCTTTTCCAATAACTTTTGAACCCATAATTAATTTTACCTGAGTTCAAGAGAGGATAGACTTCTCAAACATTTCTGCAGGTTCCATAAAAATCAGCATGTGGGTAGAGGATAAATGCAAGCTAATGTCCTATTAAGGAAGTACTTGGGGAAATGTTGTACGTTGTTTAGCAGCACTGGCTTGTTGGCAAAACAGCAGGAAGGCAAGTCAAGCTGCCCTTATCTGGCGGGGTAGGGGCCGTTCTGGAAAGGACATGCAGGGGAAACAATATTGTTACAAATGAGCAAGGTAGGCGCTTGCAAAGAAGAGAGAAACCCATAGCAAACCAGGCTTCTTTAGTTCCAATATGCACGCAGCAGCCCCCGCCCCCCCCTTTTTTTTTTTTTTTTTTAAAGAAAACTAGAGAAGAAAGGTACTATTCAAACGAACAAACAAAAAAGTGGAGTCACCCTTCAGGGCTTCAAAGATTAGTAAGCTGCAACTGGTTGTCTGTGAGCCATATGTATTAGAACTAGGGCTATAACAATGTGTTCTAGCTTAAACAGTGCAGGTGAGAAGGGTCCTTTGCACCCAAATATAATTTGGTGCTTTCCTGCATTACAGCCTTTAGAATACTTTTGCTTGTTGAGAGAATAGACTACTACTTACTTGCTCATTCTTTCTTTTGCCCTGTGACACGGGCGTCCTTGCTGATTTGTAGATGTATGTTTTATTGCACAGTGACAATAATTCTGCAGCATGAACATAAACGCTTCATCTCGCTGCACTGTTTATGACTGAGGAGAACCTCCTATTAGGTATTCTCAGAATGTAAATGTCAGACGCTCGTAACTGTCAAATCAACCCAATTTATATCTGAACACTCCAAGGCTTTGCTTCTCACAGTGACAGCTTTTGCCCAAGCCACTGACAAGAAAAAATCCTAATGTTTTAATCAAAAGTTTTTTTTTTCCCCCCCCTATATACAGTGGTATGGGGTGTATGCAAAACTTATATGACTAATTATTACTATCCTGTGGGGAAAACTCAATCATATAAAATCCCAGAATGAAAAGGAGAAATTTTAGACAGTCACATTAGACTGAAAATGCAGAATGAGAACTAAAACTGCTGTGTGTTCATGAGTCTGCACGCCTTGCTTTATGTTGTCCTTAGAAAAACATGCAGGGAACTTGTTCTGCATCCATTGTGAAGAAGTTATTTAGATTATTACTTAAACTCGATTCTTTGTTAGGCCTTGCTTAATACCACATTTTCATATTTAATCATGGATGTGCTTTAAAAAGTTTAGAGCCTTTAAAAATGTCCTGAGAGCGTGCAGTAGAAAAATGCTGTGCAGAAAGGTGATACCTTTTGAGGGAGACGCTTGACAAAAAGCCCCACCTGAGCTGCAGCCCACAGATGGACACACCATAGCAAGAAGAAGGATGCCCCAAGCAGAGTGCAATAGAAACAGGGAAGAGCAGAAGACCAAAAAGTGTTCTGGTGGCCTGACTATGTGTGGTGGCCTGACTATGAAACTCATCAGCCCTTGTGTTCTTCCAGCTAAACTTTGGTGTCTGATACTACAGTGAAATAAGAGGTTAATGCCCCAGTTTCTAGACTGCCTCTCCACCTACAGATTGCTGCTTTGCAGCTGGAGCTAATGTGTGCCAGCTTAGTTCTTGTAGTCCAGAAACAGACTGATGTATTAGCTACCTCCCAGATTGGTGATAATTTTAACTGCAGTGCTGCCTAGTGAACTGCAGTATGTCTGGAGCCAGCACACAGTAGTTTTTGTTAAATATGTTGGAAAAACAGAAATTGTGAGCAAAAGGGCTGGGGTGGTACCCTTATGTATCAGTTTGGCCCAAATAGCTAGACTTTGTCTGGAAACACCCATAGTTATAGCAGTGGTTGGCATGGTAGGGAAGTCTAACATGGCAATAGGCTCGGGTGGGGAAGGATGTTGGCATATGCCTGTAATTTTCAGAAAATTTTTTTCAGCATGTGTATGCATATACATGCTATCCAGCTTTCTAGTAGGTGGATTTTTGGTGACTGTCATCACTGTCTTTTCTCTTTTTATTCTTTCTTAAGGGAAAGCAAACCCACAAGCAAAAGCTTTTTTAGTACAATACTTGAAGATTTGTTCAGTTATAAAAAGCAATTTCAGTAGCATTTGTTTGCCTGCGTTGTGCTTGCTAGCTCTTGAAAAGGAGATATTTAACAGTTATATATTGAAATACATGACTAGAAGACCAGGTCGGGTCATATTTGAAGCCAGTCACCTGTGTAAATTAGTGTGTGTTGCCTAGAATTGGTTTGATTTATTATCAATGTATTATTGTATTTTGGCTGTCTCTTTCCTTTCACCTTTTCTGTCTCTCTCTGTATCTGGAGCTTCTTTGTCATTTGCCTTTTCTCCCTCTCCTCCACTAAGATAGATTTGCTAGTCTTGGACAATGCTTGTCCACCCTAAAACATAGTTTACTCTAAAATTGAACACGTTTAAGTTGTATCTGCACACTGACATTAAGATCTTCACCAGAAGTGCCATGTCCTGATCTGTGTCTGTTGATCGTGGTTCTGTATAACCTGTGTCCAGGTCTTGTCTGGTGCTTTCTTTTATCTTGTTATGTCTTCTCCTTTATCAGGGGCTCTTCCTTCTCTTTGCAGATTAGTGGATACCTCAATCTGCTGGCCAACACCATTGATAACTTTACACACGGCCTAGCAGTAGCAGCCAGCTTCCTGGTTAGCAGAAAGGTAAGGTTTCTGTCACAAGACGTATACTGAACTGGAGATGCCTGTCCTCAAGTGATGTAACATGCAAAAATAACAAAGATGTGAAGAATCCCTCCTGTTTTCTGGAAGCTTCTGAGAAAATGGAGAAGCATTTTCAGTAAGAAGAAGCCCTATCCTGGTCCTCTGAGGCAGAGCTTCTTCAAACTTGGGACATCTTTGTCCTTTGTACTGACCTGAGGGGAAGGGTTACCTGATCTGCCCTTTCACTGAATGCTTCTAAACCCTGAGTAACAAGAGTCTTAACTTGGAGAAAGGGGCCTTAACATGCTGATGAAAGTCTCGCTCTTTCAGAGCCAGAGGACCATTTTCTAACTTACTTCTCTTTTCTGTCATAGGTGGGGCTCCTAACCACAATGGCAATTCTCCTGCATGAAATACCACATGAGGTGAGAGGGCTTTTTATCCTGCTGCCCTGAGGGATCGAAGGAGTGCTTCATCTGCTAAAAGAGAAGGGCTGAGTCTGGTTCACGTTTTCTTGTTCCTTAAAAAGCTGCTGCTGCTTGGAGACTGGCAGCGTGAGAAGTTAAAGTCTTGGAGCACTTGTCTTGTTAAGGATGGCTTTTGTGTTTGGGGATGTTCATGTTCATTAACTGTTGGCTCTTGGTTTTCTTAGGTAGGGGACTTTGCAATCCTACTTCGGGCTGGGTTTGACCGCTGGAGTGCAGCCAAGATGCAGCTTTCCACAGCTCTAGGGGGGATTCTAGGAGCCTGCTTTGCAATATGCGCTCAGTCACCAAAAGGAGCAGGTAAGGCTCCCTGGGGCTTCTGTAGGAGCGGGGAGGCCTGTGGTAACCATGTGTGGATCTTCTCTACGTTCTCTGTTCTCTCTCATGATTTTTGCCTCAGTAATAATGAAAGCTTTCTTCACTTGTGCAGGGGAAACAGTAGCCTGGATCCTCCCTTTCACTTCTGGAGGATTCTTGTATATTGCCTTGGTAAATGTTGTGCCTGATCTCCTGGAGGAAAAGAATCCTTGGTAAGTGCTCCTGGTTAGCTGCACTTCTTCCTACCGGGGAGCAGGGATGTAACACTTTGCCCTGCCTGTTCTGGGAGCACATGAATGCCAGCTTTCCAAATAAATCCCATGGGCAAGACTACCATGTAGAAAGACTACTGCTGTGCTAGGTGTTGAATTAATGGGACTACAAAGACCCCGTAAAAGAGGAGAACCTCGAGCTGGGTCAGTCCTAAAGATTTTGCTGGCCCAGTATGTTGTCTGTGACAGTGACCAATAGCATGTACTTAAGGAAAGATGGCAGGAAACAAGACAAGTGAAAAATCAGAGGATCATAGAATATCTGAGGTTGGAAGGAACCTCTGGAGGTCCTCTAGTTCAGCCCCCCTGCTCACAGCAGGACCAGCTAGAGGAGGTTGCTCAGGACTGTGTCTAGCTGGGTGATCACCTGCTCAGTGCAACTAGTGGCTTAGGGACTGCTTGAGCCTGGGGCTTATCCACAATTTTTGTGTCTGATAAGCATACGTGGACCTATCCTTTGCATATTTGTCTAATTGCTTTTTGACCCTGTCCGTTACTTTGGGCTTCTGCAATCTCCCTTTGGCAACAATTTTGCGTAGTTTGACTGCACTGTGTGAAATTATGCTTCTTATTATTTGTTTTTTAGCCTCTTGCTTATTGATTTCATTAGATGTCCCTGTGTTGCTGTGTGAGTAGAGAAAAATAGTTTCCTTCTCTCTATCATTCACCATTTCATAGTCTTGTTGTATCCCACCTCAGTCATCCGTTTTCCACCCTGAGAATGCTGGTGTATTTGGCCGCCTCTCATATGTAGCATTCTAGTCTCTTGGAGCCTGACTGAGACTGTGGCCAGTTGTATTCCAAACCCATCTGTACCACAGTAGAGGCCCTCTCAGACATGCTGGCAGAGCTGCTCATGAATATTCTCACCTATTTCAGTTGCAATGAGGCAGATTAACTTCAGCAGATTAACTAAGAGGCTCAACTTCTTGGCTCAACTACTTCCTTTTAACCAAAATGGACAATGTGCTCAAAAGACAGCTTCACAGTTTTATCTGAGGAAGCAGGAACCTCTGGTAGAGCAATGTTAATGAGCGGCTGGGAGCTAGCTTTTCGATTGGTAACCTCTTGTCTGGGCACAGCTGTTCAGAGTGTGCAGAGGCAGTGGGTGCATAGCTACTTTAATCCAGCAAATATTTGAGATGATGCTAAATGAGTGGTAACATTCATTAGCTTTTTTTATTTTTGCAAGTGTAGTTGTTGGCTGAACGAGGTTCCTAGCCCATCTGTGAACGTGCTGCACAAGCGCTGGTGCCCTTGTAAGAGAAAGGGCAGGAATAGGCTTCTGGGTAGGTGTGTGATTTAATCAGCTTTTGTTGATTTTTGAAAACTTGAGTCGGGCCTTGCAGCTGAATGGAACAAACGCGTGTCAGTTTATGGACAACTTCTTTGTTTGGGGTGCTGGGGAAGAGTCTTCTCAGCTGCATGAATGGCTTCACCCAGCTGCAGTGTTGTCCTTGTGATGAATCTGGAAGGGCAAAGAACAAACCAGCCAGGAGCCTCTACGCTGCTGCCTATTGAGATTGGTCTGTGGTCCCTCCTAATTTTACTGTTTCTTTCCCAGGAACTCCCTACAGCAAGTTCTGCTCCTGTGTACAGGCATTACAGTCATGGTGCTACTCTCGCTCACAACAGAGTGACCTCTGTGCAGACCTCATGACGCCTCCCAGAGCCACCACAGTGACTCTGAGCTGACAAAGCAATAAGGAACACTATTGTTACTTCCTATGTGTGCACATGTGGATCTGGCTGCTAGTATGAGAAGCAGGTGAGAAAGAGGTCTGGGTGCGCAAGACTTCATTCCCTGGCTCTCCTATCCCTGTTCTGCTAAAATCCCACACATCAGGGCTTCCTTTTTTTTTTTTTTTTTTTAAATGGAGCAAAAGATACAGTGAGCAGAAATGAACTGAATGACTGCTCCACAGGGAATGGACAATGTTTCATTCATCCATTATGATGGAACTGCACCTCTCAAGCTCTTGCATGGAAACAAATGACGCTATCCCTGTAGCTGGTGAAGAGGAAGGACTTGTCCTACCACTCAAAGGGTTGGGGACAAAACAGGGATGGCAAAGCAACAATAAATTAACAGCTTTAACCACAGCTCTACCCACCGGGAGTTATGGTGCTATGAAAACCTGCATTGTAGATAGTGGGGGAAAGGTCCCTTTCCAACTTGATCTCTGCCTGTTCAATGAGATCACTTGTTTCTAAAGGTAGTATTAGCCTTGGTAGTCCACCCTTTTGGCTTACTTTGTATTCATTTATGTTGAAATCAAGCCAGAAACTTGAGGCACTTTGGGACAGTTCACAACAATTAAATGGCTCAGCTTGAAGATTACTTGCCTCAGCCTTAACCACTCCAGTAACCGGCACGGCATAGCCGTTTATCTGAAAAACGGTCAGCAAATGTTTCTTCTATTGCTAGACTATCAGCTTACCTATATCTGGAAGGCAAGTCATGGAGTTGCTGCTACTGGCCTCCCTCCCCACCTCCCTCTCCCCGTAAACATTAGCTGAGCATGGCTCTGAGCCTGCTCTCAAGACCTGACTCACCCACTGTCTTCCGCAAGCCAAGTTTCAGAGCTCTCTTGAGGTGGAGAGGTTGGCATGTTAGCCCTGTTCGGCATGCTAGAGCAGCCCTAGGCTGAGGTTTGGGCAGGGGCTGAGCACAATACAGCCCCGTCCACCACAGGTAATTCAAGGCTGGCTCTTCCTCTGTTCAACGTAGAGTATTTAAGAACATGCTATAACCAAAAATATGGATAGTAGTCTACTGGGCTTTTTACCTCACAGTGGAGTTGGTCTGTTGGGGATGAATGGGTAGGAAATAATACTGACAGTTCTTTAAAGGAAAGGACACAGCAGCAAAGAACTCAGGAAGGGTGAAATGGGAAGGGTGAAACTGCTGGTGAAAAGATTACAAATGAGTCTGGAAAAGCTAAGTGTGCTAAGTAAGGAGAGAACAGGGTATGGAAGGGTGGCAGTGAGTATGCTTTAAGAGGAGTTTTCTGTTGTGTATTGCTTGGGATTCAATTTGTTGACAATCTGAGACCAATAAAAATAAATGATGTTTCTAGTGTTTTGCATGCATCCCAACTGACGGACTGACGAGGCCTCCATTCTACAGGCATGTTTTGTACAGAGATCTGCACAACTGCTAGATCATCCCTTCTGCAGAGGTTATCCTTGCTCTACTTAAATCTGTTTTAAAAACTGACCTTACTGGACACAAGTGCTACAATGTGAGTTTGCACCAGTTCAGCTCTGTCTTGAAACAGTTTTTGTAAATCAGTATAGCTTTCCAGTTTGCACAGGGCTAGTCTCTTGAGAGGGTGATTTGGCTCAGAGCAACAAGGCGGGCATGCTGCCTGTAGCGGAGGCACTTACTTCTCTGAGGCGTTCCTTATTGACACTGTTCTTTTTTTATGACAGCTCTTGTCCTACTTTTTCAGGAGAGCTGGAGAACTCGTTTGCAGTTCTCTTGGCCCCGGGAACTGCTGTCTAAAACCTGTTCTGTTTTCCTCACCCCGGGTTTACATCACTAACTAGCTTCAGTGTAGCAATGAGGTAGGCTTAATACAATTTTCTTTCTCTTCCTTGATTACAAAGTTGCCCTGCTTTGACAACTACTGCCTCTATTATCCATTTGTCAGGAAGTCTGAATCTAGCATCCACTTTCTGTTTTCCTGGAAGGAGGATTCATCTGATTAGCAGGGACTGTGGGAGTATACTTACCCCCTCATTCTAGTACTTGGTAATTTTTTTTTTTTCCCCTTGGAGACTGAAGCTAACCAGACTCTGTAGTAGCAATCTGAAGGAAGCAGGTTTGTATAGAAAGATACGCCTGCTCTTTCCCCAGACATCTTATTCAAAATGAAGCTGGCATTTAAGTCAAGGAGTTGCCAGGTGAGTGCCCAGAAACTGGTGTTATTGCATCAGCACTGAGTCTTGCCAAAACTGTAAGATTTTGTGCTCAGCATTCAGGAATGTGAAGTGGATGACACCAAAGAATTAATTCTCGGAGTTGGAAGCCTGACAGTCTGCAGTTCTTGGGAAGGTATCCTGGTATGAGGCAGCACAAGGCTTATGGGAGGGGCCAGTTAATTTTCTGCTGCGTGCAGTGTCAGCCCTGTGGCTGAAGATGGAGGGCTTTTGGAGGAAATGGAGCATCCCTCCACCCCATTTGTCACTTTTGGAAATGCAGAGAGAATCATATCTTCTAGTTCTATTTTTTTAGCTGCTCTTTTGCATTTTTCCCATTTCATCTGTATTGCTCTGCTCTGCATGGAGACAATAGAGATGAAATAAATGGCTTGCAGTGAGGGTTTGTGTTTTCTGATCTGAAGCTACTTCTTTTCTTTGCCTTTGAATACAGAGCAGTATCTCTCAGTTAGTAGTCTAGGCAAGTCTGTGGGCTCTGTCTTGCTTTTTACTCTACTCCTTGAGTTTTCACTATTGAAAGAGAAGTTGCTAAACCAGACTGCTGTTCCTGGTGCAATGGCATTGCGGGTCAGGAGTGTTGTAGTGTATGTGGAATCATAGTTCTTGAATGCAGGTCTGTGTGCTGAGAAGGATAATCCGGTGAGTTACTCCTCCTTGAGGGGGGTGCCTGTACGGTAACTGACTGCCCAGAGAGAGGTGCAGCCTTTTTTGATTAGTGATTCTTCATCTAAAAACTTCTAGGCCTAGCTGATAGTTACCTTCCTCAGCACTTAACACTACGCTGGTTTACCTGCTGGGTGGGATAAAGACACTTATTCATCAAAAGTCATATGTGGAAAGAGCCAGAAGATCAGCTTGTAAGGGAATGTTCTCTGTCCTCCAAAAATACAGGTTTAAAGTATGTCTTATCCCACCCTTCATTTGCAAGGTTTTTCAGGCTATAAATACCGAACGGTAGTAAATGATATCTTTTTTAAGAAGAAAGCAAGCCACAACCTAAGAGCTGGAAGAAGATAAAGGCAGGTAGGTGACTGAGGGCATGATTTCGTGATATGGGGGCTTTGCCAGGAATGTACCTTTTGGAACGTCTGTCCCTGGTTTCACTGTGCTGCCCTCTGTGGTTGTGCTGATACTTCTGTTTGTGGGCTGTGTTGTAAGCCTCCCTTCCCCCCATCCCTTTTTCCTTCTTTCAAAGGTAATGTGGACAGTCTGGTTCACAGGCTCCACAGAGAGTGGCACTTGCACAGTTGCTGTCCTACAGAGGGGAGAACAGGCGGAAAGAACCTTATGCACACGGGAACTTCTTAAGGTGATGGTCTTGCGGAAGCTCTAGTCTTTTGAAACTATTGCCCGTAGAGAGTACGGTGACAAAATAGGATTGCCAGGTTCAGGGAACATGAATATTCCTATATTTCCAGGAAAGAGCTGTTATAATTGAAAGATCTTCTGTGGTATCTGGGGAGCAGTATCTAGAGCAGTGATTGTGCTTGAAAAATATTTTTCATTCCTGACGTGAGAGACTCTTAATTTAGCTGGTATGTGTTAGAAAATTCTTTCAGCAGCAGCCCCGTCAGTTCCTTTCAATTTGTCTGCCTTCAAGGCAGTAATGTGCAGCTGCATGGTTGGTAATCCCATCTGTCCAGTACAAACTGTTGAAGAGAGTCATGCTGAAATGTGTTTAAGCAAGCTTTATCCGTGGTTGCTGCATGTTTCCACCAGGCATCGTGCTTTGGGGAGAGAAGCAGCAGGCTGATCTGAGCAGGGTCCTCGGCAGGAGAAGCGTTGTGGGCGTTTAGGTTATGCTCACTAGTTGAGCGCGCAGGAAGTGAGAAGGGGAAAAAAAGGACCTAAATCTCCTACACTTCAACAGTTGACAAGGGAACACTTGAACAGGGACAAACTATTTTTTATCAAGCAAAGCCAAGGATTTTGAGAAATGAAGGTTAATTTTGTAATTTAGACTTATCATACTCTCGGATCACTTTAGTTGGATGCCAGATTTGACAAGGTGATGTCCTAACAACCGGCCTTGGGAACTGATAGAGCTGCAGCTGGAAGAACAAGTGCCACAGAACAGACAGGCTCAAAAGGGATTTTGTGTCACCTCTACTTAGCTGATGGCTTGGATGTAGCCTGCTTCTCATAGCTGAAAACGCCAATCTTTTATGTGCGTTAGGCCTTGTTTTCCCTTAAGTGATGATAACAGAGGGATGAGGAGGAATCACGATCAAAATGCTAGCAAATGCTGGTGCTGCTCATATTTCATTCACATTTAAAAAAAATGCTCGATCCCGTCATTTCTCTCCTACCAGTACCCATCGCTGCCCGAGCAGGCCAGCTGCGCCGCCGG